CTGGCTCCTGTCCCACTCTGTGCTGATATCTCCCAAATTTATATTTCCAGTCCCAGCCTTCCTTCTTAACCAGCTGCCTCCTTCACATCTAATTTGGAAGTTTTACATGCATTTCCAAGCTAACATGCCCCAGGGCAAATCCTTATTTTCCCAGCCTGACCTACTCCTCTCCTGACTTTCTTTATCTGGCAAATAGCTCCATTAGGAGCCTAAGCCAAGGGTCTAGAGACCATCTGTTTCCTTGGCCCCCAGGATTGAACCCACCAAGTGCTATCCATCCTACCTCCAGAATATCCCAAATCTGTCTGCTTCTTTCCATCTCTATCCTCAGCCAAGCCACTGTCACTCTTCCTGGAATTACAGTTACAGCCACTTTATATAACCCATTCTCTACACAGTAGCCAGAGTAATATTTTAAAATGCAAATCAGATAATATCCCTCTTCTGTGTAAAACCCTTCAATGTCTTTCCTTTAAGTTTAGCATAAAATCTAGTCTTCAAGGCTCTGCATGATCAGGGGTATGGTCCTTTCTCTGACTAGATGACCCTCTCCTCTGTTCACCAAGCTGCAGCCATACTTCTGACCTTTCTGCTCCTTGAATATGTTAAGTTTGCAGCTTCTGCTGTTTGCTCCCTCTGCTTGGATCATGAATTCCCTTGGTCTTCCACAGCTGGATTTTCTCCAGTATTTGGGTCTCAAAGGTCACCTTCTCAACCTTCTAGCACCATCCAATTTAACTTATGTACCATCACTCTGTCCTCTTTTATTTTCATATGAAAACTTATTACCACCTGATGTCCTAGGCCAGGTATCCCCAAACTACAGCCCGCGGGCCATGTGCAGCCCACCTAGGACATTTATCTGGCCCGCCAGGTGTTTTTGCCACTGCTGCCTGTCCTGCTTAGCAACTGACTCATTCCAGGGCCTTCAGTCCAGCCCTCCAAAGGTCTGAGGGACAGTGAACTGGCCCCCTGTTTAAAAAGTTTGAGGACCCCTGTTAGACACTAGAATACAAACTCTGTGGGAAATAGAACTTTATCTTTCTTGCCCTTTGCCACACGCCCAGCACATAGTAGGCACTCGATAAACAGTTGCTTGATCATTCAAAGGTAAGCTCCTTGAAATCTGGGACCATTATGACTCATAAACTTCTAGGTAACTTTTCCCAACTACTTAATCACCTTGTCACATTACAATCTCTAAAAATATGATTCATGGAGATTAAAACATATACAACACATCTACCTTAAAAATTCTGGAGAGACTAAGGGAAAGAGAAGAACCTAATGGATGCTTTCATTTTAATAAAATGTTATTGGGATAAATCTGACTGCAACCCCCCAAATATGGGCATCATTTCTGGGTTTGGAGTCCACGCTTTTGAATTAATAGTGGTGGACAAGTCCCAGAGGCAAAGCATTTTCCAACCTCCATAGTCTATCATCCTGGTCTTCCATTCCCCCTTCACTTTGTGAACTAGAGGAGCAATGAGTATTTGAGAATCTTTCTCTTCTATCAAGAAACAATGTCCATAACCCATGCTCTGAAGCATTTTCTAGGGTTTCAGAGTCTATATTATGAAACACTTTTTAAAAGTGGGTTATGGGTACTTTTCTATCCACTCTGTGTAACTCTAATAGATTGTGTAATGCCTCACGAAGGTCCTGGACGCTCACCACCCACATCTCCAGTCTAAAACTAGGTTATGAGTAAAATGAAAACTCTGCAAAAAAAAAAAAAAAAAAAGCCTTTAACTTCTCATAAAGTCCTCAGCTCAATTCATATCTCACAGGCATGGAAATACAGATTGTGTAAAGAGGTCAAGAATCTAAATAATTATTCAGCTAGCAACCAAACGGTAATAGACACTCCCTTTGAAATTGTGGAAATTCTCATTTCCATACAAAAGCAAAGAGACTACAGTGGCTGAGTGACGTTAGCAGGCAAAAAGCTGAAAGGATATTTTCCTTAATTACCGGATAGCTCCTGCCCAGCTTTAACCAGCTTGAAGCAAGCCTGCCACACACACCTAGGGTTTGGGCCCTTAGGGTGGAGGAGGGGTGGGATGGAGTGGAGAGGCTTTATCTCGCGAACCATGGATAGCTTGGGAAAGTGCCCAAGTGAAAACAATTGAAAACCAACTAATTTTCCCACAAGGCTGGCAGAGCTTTCCATAGACTGTTAAAATCCAACTACTTTGTAAATTCTATGAAGACATCTTAAAAGCCCTACTCTCCCCCCTCCAAATGTCTTCACTCCAAGAAGTTATCTGGGGAAGATATCATTATCTTCAAACCACAACAACAAAGCTCCTAAGCCTCCCCATCCTGAAATTCTTGAACCCTGTGCTCCACCCTAATTCAGTTTAGGAAACTGATAAGCAGCTGTAAAAATAAAGCGTAAAACATTCTCTCCCATTCAAATTGGTGGCATAACGTGCACTTTTGAAAACAGGGCCAGGAGGTTGTTCTTTTCCATTTTTTTAAAAAAGTGACGGACCAAAAACACAGCTAAACAACCACACATATTATAAAGCGATCTGTGCGTCCACTAGCTTGCATGTAGCTCATGGTTGTATGTATGTATTCATTTAAACTTGTATTATCAACATTGTAATACATCCACAAAAGTAGAGAAACCGGTACAATGAACCCCATAGGTACTTAACTCAACATCTAGCTTCAACGATTATCAACATAAATTCATTCTGTTTTAATGTTCTTACAATGAAACACAAGATCTAGCTGTGAGAATATTGCCCATATAACATTTAATGTTTTATAATACATATTAAAGTCTTTGGAGTTTTTGGTCCAAAGAGTAAAAGCTCACAAATTCTGACTCATTAGCTACAATCCTACCCAAACTACTGAAAAGCTGCATTTGGCAACATTTTTAAAGGCAGTTTTATCACTTGCAAGTTAAAGAGTATCAAGGAGAGGTCTTTTCAGATTTGCCTTAATAAACACACATACAAATGATAATGGTAAAATTAATTATCTTTGCATGCAAAAGGTGCTTTTGGAATAATTAAAGATGAATTAATCATCATGGGCTGCCATAACAAAATACCTTAGACTTGTGGCTTAAGTAACAGAAATTTATTTTCTCATGGTTCTGGAGGCTGCATGTCTGAGATCAGGGTGCCAGTGCAGTCAGACTCTGGTGAGGACTCTTTTCCTGGCTTGCACACAGGCACCCTCTCTCTGTGTCCTCACATGGCAAAGAGACACCAAGTTCTCTGATGTCTCTTAAAAGGACACTAATGTTACTATGAGGGCCATTACCTAGAGGGTTAAAGCTACAACGTGTGATCTTGGGGGGTGGGGGTACGATTCAGTCCATAGCAAAAGGCAAGTTTTTCCTTCCTCATTTCTTCATAAAATACAATTATGTCGACATTATTTACTTGCCTGGCAAACCATTTTTCTTCATGGTGAAATACAAACTTTAGACAAGTTGATAACTTGTCTTGATCTGTTTATCACAGATCCCGTATTAGATAAATATTTTTAATAGGTTTCACAAAATATGAAATAACCTGTCTCTGTTGCTCTTCTCTTTGGAGATACATTTTCCCTGAAATAAATTCAGTACGGACAACGTGGGGTTTGAATTGTGCAGATCCAATTACATGTGGATTCTCTTCTCTTCTTCTCTTCTCTCCTTTTTTATTTATATATTTATTTTTGAGACATAGTCTTTGCTGCCCAGGCTAGAGTGCCATGGCATCAGGCTGGCTCACAGCAACCTCAAACTCCTGGGTTCAAGTGATCCTTCCACTTCAGCCTCCCAAGTGGCTGGGGCTAAGGGCACCCACTACAATTCTTGGCTAATTTTTCTCTTATAAGTAGAGACAGGGTCAGGCCCTTCCTCAGGCTGGTCTCAAACTCCTCAGCTCAAGCAATCTTTCTGCTTCGGCCTCCCACAGTGCAAGAATTACAGGTGTGAGCCACTGCACCTGGATTTTATGATGATTCACGTCTACTTAATCAATAGTACCCTTATGATTTTCTTAATAACATTTTCTCTTCTCCAGCTTACTTTCTCATAAGACTACAGTACATAATTCAGATAACGTGTAAAATGTTTATTAATTAACTATGTTATTGGTAAGGCTTCCTGTCAACAGTAGGCTATTCATAATTTGGTTTGGGGGGAGTCAAAAGCTATAGGTGAATGTTTGATGACAAGGGGTGGTTAGCACCTTCTTTTTTTTTTGAGACAACGTCTCAGTATGTCACCCTGGGTAGAGTGCCGTGGCATCACAGCTCAGCAGCCTCAAACTCTTGGGCTTAACGGATTCTCTTGCCTCAGCTTCTCAAGTAGCTGGGACCACAGGTGCCTGTCACAATGTCCGGCTATTTTTTGTCGCTATTAGTTTTTGTCGGCTATTAGTTGTCATTGTTGTTTGGCGGGCCTGGACTGCATTTGAGCCTACCAGCTCCAGTGTATGTGGCTGGTGCCCTAGCTGCTGAGCTACAGGCACCAAGCTGGTGGTTAGCACCTTTGATGTTGTTCAAGGGTCAACTGTAATAATGGGTAGATAGGGACAGGGTGAGACTTGCCTTCTCTATAAAGTCTAGTTTGGAACTTAAATAACTTTGATATACTTAAATATCAAATCTCATTAAATAATGCTCAATAGAAAGACTAAGATCTTCCGGCTCGGTGCCCATAGCACAGTAGTTACTGCGCCAGCCACATACACTGAGGCTGGCAGTTTTTGTTTAGGCCCCCTAAACAACAATGACAACTGCAACAACAAAAATATAGCCAGGCCTTATGTTGTGGCAGGTGCCTGTAGTCCCAGCTACTTAGGAGGCTGAGGCAAGAGAATCACTTGAGCCCAAGAGTTGATGTGAGCTGTGATGCCACAGCACTCTACCCAGGGTGACATAGTGAAACTCTGTCTCAAAAAAAAAAAAAAAAAGACTAAGATCTCTAAAAGTAACCAGAGATGAAACCTTGCTTGTGTTTTGCTAATGATCAGTGATTTGTGCTTGCTTCAGCAGAACATATTTTAAAATTGAAACAATACAGAGAAGATTAGCATGGCACCTGAGCAAGGATGACAACCAAATTGATGAAGCATTCCGTGTTTTGTTTTGTTTTTTAAGATCAGTATTGTTTTTTATTGGCCGAAATTAGGATGCTTACCAAGAGACTTGGAAAAAAATCAGACTCTCAAAATTTCCCTTGACTTGTAATGATTCATTGCTCCACTCCTGTCCTAAGTCATGGGTTCCTGTGGCTGCCCAGCCATTGGTGGCTGAGCTCCCCCACCTAGGTGACCCTACTGGAGAAGTGACCCTACTCAACAGTTGCAGAGCACTGTTGAAAACTCACCTTAGGATCCCAAGGGGCATCAGTTCTCCTTATAAGGACCCTCTGGAGATGAAAGTGCTTTAGGACGCAAGACCAAACCTTGTGAACGGTATGTGGGTTGCCAACACTTTGAGACAGAACCTAAGAAGGATCTGTAGCTGACCATAGGAAATCCTGTCCTGACGTTTTGCTAGAAGTTGGAAGCAGGTGTGGAAAATAAGAATGCTTAGGTTGAGGAGCAGCACAAACTAACTAGAATACCGCTCACATATTATTATATGTGTCCTTATTACATTTAATATACTATATTATTGCTTGAGAGCAATGGGCTTAGGACTTCAGGGAATTCTGAGTTCAAATTCTGACTCCAGCTTTAGCAGCTGTGTGACCTCAGCCGAATTACTAACCCCCTCCATTATTTTTTTAATGTGTAACATGCAGATATTATTACCTACCTTCACTAAGTGGTTGTAAGGGATAAATAAGACAATAGTATATACAAAAAGTTTGGCATTGTGTTCGGGATAGAGGGAGAGCCGAATAAATGGTACTATTATTAGCGTAGCATAATTGAACTTCAGCAATTATAATTAGCTACACTTGCAAAATCTGAGTAAAAGGTTGCTTTACTTATTTATCTCAACAACCAGAAACACCTTGTCCAGAGGAGGAAGGTATTTTTTAGAACTTTCCTCAGTGTGAGTTTGCATATCTTCAGGGTATTTTAAAAAGTGCTAAGCAGTTTTTCTTAGCACTTTATAGTATCCTTCTGGTTCATAGGATTTTTGTAGCTTATTTGCCACTTACATAAGAAGCTCTGTCTTTGCAGGAAATAGTGGGAATATTTACCAAGTACTTTTCCGAAGTAAGTTAAGTAATAAGAAATTCAGGCAAGGTTCTGGGGATACATACATAGTGCAACAACATAAATAAGGGGTCTCAATGTAATATACAAAACCACAAAAAAAGAATAGTTTACTTCCCCAGTGGTATATTGAAGTTTCCTGAATGGGCTCCCTTTAACTATCGCAATCACAGAGGTAAGACCAGCTTGAGCTGTCAGTAGCCCCGCGGCAGTGCACCAAATGAGGCAGCCCAGCCTAGCTTGGCCTCTGTTTCTCGTGCATGGTAAGGAAAGCAGTATTTGCTTTAGTGAGTGTGAAATTCATCTGTGGATTTCAAGGGGGAAACTAGAGGTCAAAGGTTAAGTGAGAAGCTAGAAAACCTTTCAGTAAAACATCACGGAAGTGGCGGTAGGAAAATGATGAAAATGATGCTCTTGAGCCCCATTTCCCACCCGTGAGGTGCTTGAGAAGAGCGGGTCAGATTAAACCAGAGCCAAAATGGGCCAAGAAAGAAAAAGTGTTCAGTCCTGCTTTGCGCTCTCCTTGCTTACTGAAAACATCTTCTGAGCGTTAAGAACTGTGACGGGGTGTTGGAAGATTCTGTGTTTATGAATAGTGTAAATCAAATTTTACTAATTGAATTCTAAAATGGGGGGTGGGGGTGATTAGAAAATTAGGGAGTAAAATGCTTCGTCAGTGTGAAGCCTTGCCAGCTGCAGCAGGTGGTGTCATAATATATCCCTGGGTGGAATTATGGTGTACTGATGCCAGCGGTGTCCCAGTTAATCAGATTTAGTAGCATACCGGACAGCCAGGCAAGCTTGGTGGGCCTGTGACTGTGTGTTACAGGAGGTTATGTTCAGTCTTTTTCATCCTAAAGGCTGTCACCCAGTGTTCCTCAATCCTGAGTACTAGAAAAACCCCTTCTAAAGGTGAATACAAATTCTCCACTGATTTTTACATTTATTTAAATTGTTTAAATTATTTCTAGTATGTATGATGTTATCTTAAAGTGCACAGAAATAAAACCAAGTACCAACTCCTAATAGTTATAGCTCTTATAAACCGAAGACTTTTTTTTTCAGATTAAATTTAAAACTATGAAGCCAGTGATATTTAAACTGACAGTACTAATTTAATGAGATGGATGATGTTATTTTGCCAAAATGAATAATTGATTACAATATAAAGATGATATGGGTTGCCTCAGGGCAGATTCTTTTGATTTTGGTATATTTATAAAACTATCTCACTCAACTTTTCTTTATTAATACCACTGTATTCATGAAGGTCATCTAATAGTTCAAATAAAGAACTATAGATGAGGCTCGGTGCCTGTAGCTCAACAGCTAGGGCATCAGCCACATACACCGGGGCTGGAGGGTTCAAACCCAGCCTGGGCCTGCCAAATAACAACAACAACAACAAAAATTAGTCAGGCATTGTGATGGGTGCCTGTAGTCAGCTACTTAGGAGGCTGAGGCAAGAGAATCGCTTAAGCCCAAGAGTTTGAGGTTGCTGTGAGTTGTGATGCCACAAACTCTACCGAGGGTGATATAGTGAGACTCTGTCTCAAAAAAAAAAAAAAAAGAAAAAAAGAAAGAAAGAACGAACTATAGATGAGCATCATTCCCACACTATGGTCAACTCATCCTTTCTCGTTTGCTAGGAACCAGTGGGGAATGCTGCCCCATTTCAATCTGATCACAAACACAATGCAAACATGAATAAAATCATGAAGCGGTACTCAGAAAGTGATCGACTCGTTCTTTGTGAAAATGTTCTACGGTAGCCCTTACCACACATAGCTATCAAGCACTTAAAGTGGGCTAATGCAGCCAGAAATAGAATTTTTAATAAATTCCAATTTAAATCACCTATTGTGGCCTCTGTATTGGATAGTGCAGAGTCCTAGTTCATACCTTTATTATTATCTTTTATATTATCATGGAAATAAAATCACTAGCTGTGTGAGTGGGACATAGGGTTAACCTCTGTCACCCTCCACACCTTTATCTGTAATGCATTTACTGACTTAGCACCGTGCCCGGACAGGACAAGACTCAGTCTCTAGGGTTGTGACTGGGTGATAGTGATACTGGACAGGTGGCATCCCAGCCAGCTCAGCAGAGCGGGGCTGGAGGACCTGCTGCCTATGTCTTGGCAGTGTTGGTGGCGGCAGCCGGCAGAGGAACCAGCAGGCTGGAGCGTACGCAAGCAGGAGGAGCTTCCCTCCCCCAACGATGGCTCCAGTAGCCAAAGGAACTGGACGCCAGAGGGGGAAGACACTGGCACTGTGCTGTCTCCTCACTTGGACTTCTGGCAATTCCTCCAGTGCATCCCTGATTGGTCTGTTTTCAAAACCTGCTTCTGATTAGTCTATTTTCAGACCCCAAAGCTCATTGGACAACTATATAAGCCCTTAAGCAAAGAGCCCCTGAGCAGAGACCCCACACGCAGACCTCAGAGAGAGAGAGAGAGAGCAGGAGAGCAAGGAGGTTTGGTTCCTTGTGAGAGCTGTAACACTCGTATTATAAAACCTATCTTACTGCTGATCCTGCTCCACAAGGAAGCTTGGTTCTTTGTAAGAGCTGTAACACTTGTATTGTTAAATAAAACCTATCCTGTGGTCTGTCGCTTCATTCTTCAAACTGCTGAGACCAAGAGCCTGGAAATCCAGTATCAAAAATCCAGTATCAATAGGCCTGAAGAGGGTTTGTCACTTCTGTTCAAAATTTTCCTCACTGTTCCCTCAATCCATCCCTTGGTGTGATTATTCTTTGAAATACACAATTGACATTTTTCTCTATCTTATGCAAAGTGTTACTAAAGCATCATTAGACAACAGTTGCTATTTTTATTCATCTATAACAGGCAAACTAAGTAAAAACAGTGTGTTTACCATGCAAATGTAGTTGCAATTAGTCACCCACCACCCAGCCTTCTGCCTTCCAATTAAGACTCCCCCCAGGTTCCCAGCAAAGAGATCTCAAATAGAGATCATAGATGCATCAAACAAGGTGTTTAGGACCTCATTTTAATTTCTCTGGAAAACAGGAAGCTCAGACCCCTTTCAGGCTGTAGTGGACTATTATGCAACAGGCTGTGTCACACCATTTATTGCTTCTGCTTCTGCTCCTGTGGGGGTTGCCCTGCCTTTCCCCAGGCCCATTTTCAACCCCATTTTCTGCCCCCAAACACTCTGCATCATTTGCTGGAATCTGCTTGAGCTTCTCTTCATCTACAAAATATTTCCTGACCCTCCCAGATAAAACGTATCTTCTCGATCCTTGCCTCTACCCTGCACCTTACGCAGACTTCCGTGATAGCCACCAGAAGCGAAAACATTTGTTTTTTACCTTACATTATGGATTGCATGTGTCCCTTCTTCCCCCCAAGCCATGGTGAACTTTTAACTCCCAGTGCCCCAGAATGTGACTTTATTTGGAAATAAGGTCTTTGCAGATGTAATTATACAGTTAAGATGAGGTAACACTGGAGTAGGGTGACCTTTAATCCTTATAAGAAGAGACAGGGACACAGCCGCACAGAGAGGAAGGTGACAATGGAGGCAGAAATTGAAAAGCTGCCACTATAAGTCAAGGAACGCCAAGAATTGTAGAGAAAACACCAGAAGCTAAGAAGACGAAAGGAAGGCTTCTCTCCCACAGCTTTCAGGAGGAGCGTGGCTCTGCCATCACCTTGATTTCAGAATTCTAATGTCCAGAACTTTGAGACAATAAATTTTTTTTTTTTTTAAGCCACCCAGTTTGTGGTACCTGTAATTCCAGAGTTACAAACATCTGATTTCTGTACAACTTGAACTTATGAATGGAGGTATTACAGTAAGTCCCTGAGTTACAAATATCCTATTGACATATGACTCTTGTTTACAAACGGAGGCTATTACAGGTAATAGTAAATATACCTGTT